AAACATTGAGATGAAACTATTTGTCTGCAAATTTCAAATGTCTTCTGAAATTGCCCCTGAGCAACTATGAATCACAGAAGAATACTCACATATTTGGTTGAAACCATATATTTGGGCAGGACATACTGATGGGATCAACCTCTTTCTTTTTTAAATAGCCAACAGTCATTAGTTTATGCTTCTACTACACTCTTTGGTACAAAAGCTAAAAGGTACATCTTTGTACCTTTTTTAACCCTAAATGGTACTTATTAGTACCTTAAAGGTACATATTAATACTTTAAAAGTACATATTAGTACCTAAAGCATACATATTAGAAAGGGTACTGCCACCATTGATTTTTTTAATAAGTGAATATATGAAAGCATTGAAGAAACTAAAGAATAAACTATAGTTACGTCACAAGCAATTGATGGCTGAGAAAGTAAATAAAGTAATAAAGTAAGTATAGTACACAATAGACCGATCAGAACACAGTTTAGAAATGGTTTCTAGCTCAAGTGTTAAAAATTGATTTTATTTTTAATTCAATTAAATTTGTCCTCATAGTTTGTGTTGTCCCTTATTAATGCAAAGTCATTACAAAATTAATAAGGACTTATGATCCCACAATTACAAACTTTTCAAGGATGCTGTATGAACTAGGGAAAATACTGACAATGATATTGGCAAAAAGATAAGCACTCACCCACTGTCCATACACAGAGCTCACATTTTAGCAACTGCTTGGATGCTTGATGTGTATATGGAGTGATAAAATACTGTATAACCACTGCATTAAAAATCAGTACAACACACACAAAAGAGAGAGTGCTATATAAAGGCAGAAAATAAGATGGGGTCGTAGTTCAATAGCCAGGCCTAGTCATGCTCATGTAGTAAAGCACACTACTACAGTAGGTTACGATCACAGACATGGACTAAAAGCCACAAGGAGATTCCAAGGCGTCTTTAAAGTCTTATTATGTATTTTAGCTAAGAAGTAATGCTTTAATGTGGTCATATGATGCGATTTCAATTTTTCCTTTCTCTTTGGAGTGTTGCCTTAATGACGGATTTGTTCTTACATAAACACAGCTTTTCACATCACAAGAAGTTAATTAATAGACTGGAGTCGTGTGGATTACTTGTGGATTATTGTGATGTTTTTATCAGCTGTTTGGACTCTCATTCTGATGGCACCCATTCACTGCAAAGGATCCATTGGTGAGCAAGAGATGTAATGCTAAATTTCTGAATTCTGAATCTAGAATTGAAGAAACAAAATCATCTACATCTTGGATGGCACAAGGGTTAGTACATTTTCTTTTCTGGGCGAACTATTCCTTTAAGTAGCTTAACCAGATACATGCCCTTGTTTAAGAAATTTCAACAGGTACTTTTTGATGCATAGCTAAACTGACCAGCACTAAAATCAGTACCTAACTAGCATAAAAATTCATTTACAACAGAGTGCTACATGATCACATAAACCTTCGCCTTTACTTTGGTTTCACACACAATCTATTAAATGCCACATATAGCCACTCCGCACATATAGCCATTATCACGTGTGTGCTTGTGCGTGTCGTGAGTAAGGAGCATGTGCACCTCCATGCAAAAGTGTGTGTAAGACCTCCCTTTGTGTCGCAGCATGTTGTTTTCACACCTCTATAATTGGATGTGAAACGGAGAGGATCGTCTTGCATTTGTGTGAGAATTACGTGGTCTTTCATCGCCTTATTGAAGTCCTAATGCCCAAGTCTGCACCGTAGCGGTGGCGGCCAGTGTGCGGTATGATCAGCTCACCCTAATCCCGCCATCTGATGGCTATCACCGTGGCATTTGTACACAGAGGTTCTCCGTCGCTTTCGGCTGGGTATTCAGAGTCTCTAAATGCTACAGGCTTATTTTCACACCACATGCCGCAGACCGACACAAACGGCGGCCCTTTGAGCTCCAGATTGGTATAAAAAACCCTGCATGATTCAGACAATGACTTTGATGTCGGTGGAAATAAAAGAAATGTCGTCTAAAGTCAGTCTGCCTCCTCCCTGCTACGAAAATGTTAGAAAGTTTCCAGTTAGCAAAAAAGGTTCATTTTTTGAGAATGGAAGGCTGAGTTTGTGTTACAATAAATTACTGTTCAAGGACTGTCACAAAGAATAGAAATAAGACTGATGGTTGGAGCTGTGACACATAGGATATATTGAGAAGTTTTTGTGCTTGTGGCATCCTGGGTTCGAGTTTAGCCTGGGACGTGCTAGTCTTGTTCATTCACCAATGCCTGTATTTAAATAAGTTTCTTCTTTTAAACCCAAATTGAGCTTGAATGTGATTTAGGGCTACACAATTATAATCATAATATTATATTGAAAAATAATAAATACTTAATCAAATAAATGACTGAGACTATGATTACCAGTCATGTCAAGTGTTGATTGTTGCATTCCTTTAGGTCTACTCCTGTCTTCATGATGTTCATTTTTGCAGCGGATGATAATTATTAATGATATTTTAGGTCCCATGGGGTTGATTTTTACTAAAACTAACAGATTAAACTTGGTTTTACTTTTGGTAATATGAAGGTTAAAATGTTAAAGGTTGCATGTTAAAAACTGACACTAAAAAAAGTGAAAATTAAGGTAATTTAAATTTCTGAGCATACTATTTTTATTAATATTTTTATTCTGTCATTTTCATTTGCAATTTTTTTCAAATTATGCAAAAAGTATTAAACACATATAAATATGTATTCTCCTATTGTATCTACAGTTGAAGAAACACAACTACAATATCAAGGCAAACTAATTATTATTATTATTTTATCATAATTGCACAGTTTTACCACAATTCGTTTCTTAAAAATGGTTTGCAAGGTGTAACCCAATAAAAACTGAGCTACAGCACGCCACAAACTCCTGAATAACCCGGCCCACTCCTGAGAGAAATGTTAAACACAGGCACGTAGGAGACGTCAACTTGACTGTGAAATGTTTTGCAGTCCATTGTTTTCCGGCAGCATCTCCATCTAATTGTCTTGTCCCATTAGGCCGTGACCAGGGTTTGGAAGAGGAAGACAGGCTCCCTTGGCAGATGCCTGCCATTTGTCTGAATGCCCTTGATCGACTCATGACAGATGCCAAGGCTTCCGTTGAGCGGGTACTCTCTGTCACATGACCTCTGTTCAGTGCGTCAGGATAACGTGGCGTAGTGGCTCTCTCGCACGCACCACGTATGGACGTACGCACACTTCGGCATCCATCAGTTCCCTGCTATTACCTCTGACAGGCCTCACCTGCCCAGACTGCATGGCCCATGCAAATTCAACCTGGCAGATGAGTGTTTGAATGGTAATGCACTACTCTGATTGATACTGATAGGAGGCGTGGATGTGTGTGTATCGGTGCATGTGCGGGTATGTGGGATTTGCAAACGTAACTTTTCCAAAAGGTTTTGGGAAGTGTCAAGGTACACTGGCACACAAGTCAATCGCACACTAAAGGACTGAAACTTGTTGCTGGAACAAGTTTGTGAAAACAGCCCCAGGGTGTAGCCAACTATTAAAGCTCTTATAGCTCTTTTCCCCACTGTGTGCGAATCTGTGCAAAACACAAAACAAATCCTCCATGTTGTTGGCTGACATGATGTCCAGAATCTGGAAGTTGGGAAAACGATTCACCTAAATCTACTAGTGACAAATAATGCCTTAAAGTTTGTAATATATGTATGTATGTATGTATGTGTATATACAGTACCATTCAAAAGTTTCAGTAAGACTTTTTTTAATAAATGAAAACTTTTATTCTATTTATTCTTCACAATATTAATGTTTTTACTGTATGCTTCATCGAATTAATGCAGCCTTGGCAAGCATAAGAGACTTTTTTAAGAACATAAAAAAAAAAAGACCTAATGAATTTAAGCAACCATCACCCCAACTTTTATTATTTTTTTATGAATTTACAGTATAAACCATTTCAGTATAAACCATATTTGGATTTAGCCTTCATTAATATGTTACATCAAAAAATAATACGAATTTAGAAGCAAATTTGTGAGAAAACTAATTGCAGGATCAAAAATAATCGGAGAGAAGAATGATCTTGTAAATGACGCAACTAGACGGTGATTAGTAAAGTACACAACAACAAGACACTAAATAAGAAACTGTATGTATTTGTAGTGTGAGTTTGGCTTAAGAATAGACAAAGAGATCAAATAAGCCATATGTGAAGAATAGCAGAATGCATACTGAGCAGGAAGGATTTGATCTTATCTTCACACTGATGTAATACTTGTAGCCATTTAAAAGACATCCAAAAACACACACAGCTAGGGAACTGCATTTGTCTTTCACGCATCTCCTCCTCCATGAGGCAGATGTGTTTCTAATAAAACTATTCCTACAGCTGACAGAGCAAAAAGAGTCGAGCTGATTAAAAGACATATCAAAACATGTTTAGGGAAAATGGTGCCAGTGTGACGTGCTGTAAACAGTCACGTATAAGGAGTTTGTCCAGCCCCAAGCTCACTTCCTTCTCTTGGCATTTCTAATAATTCCTCTAACAACAGCCCTGTCACTGTCCCTTTTTTTCTACCCAGATGGCATCACCATGGAGACCAAACATCCCTGGCAACACAACCTCTCATCTGGAACATCAAACACACCATTGCCAACTTGGAGAAGGAAGAGAAAATGAGAAAGCGTTGAATGCTTTCTTTAAGGAACACTGGCAGTGTGAAAACTCGAAGAGGTGGTAACAAAAAATCCTGTTGTTTGCGGCAGAGAGATAAGACAGTCAGATATGATGACAGTATGCACAAGTCAAGTCTTATTCGCCGTGCCTGCAGGGCTTGTGTGGAACCCATGCTCGGGCCTGCATTACACAAATGGGAAGAGGCCCAAACTACACATAGAAGATAAGTCGTGGATTTGTTATTTGGAATTAAAGCATGGAAAGCACAGTGGCGAGCAGTGTGTAGGTGGAGATGTGATATTTGCAGAGGGTATGAATACCATTTAGGCCGGCTGGTCGACTTCACCACGGGGGACATCCCATCTCTGTACAGGCTCTTGGTCTTGCTGAAGTTCACAATGTTGAAAATCACCCTCTGAAATAAGAAGAAACAGACATTTTTAGTCAGATGGAACCAAGGCTATTTTATTATATTTGAAAACGAACACTAGCAGTGAAGAAAACAAAAAAAATGAGAGTTTGCAAACAAACTGCACAACAAAACGTTTTTTGTATGTTATGTTTAGGGGCAGGTAAATCTGAAATCAATGAGATTGCAATAGGAACAATAAATAAATGTGTAAATAATTGTTTAATTATTAAATAAATGTTTATAGAAATAAAAAATAAATAAATAGTGGCTACAGCAAATAACGAAATGTTGAGTTGACAATGCAAATGATCCAAAACAAAACTCTTGATTATATTAATTACATTCTTGTTCTTTTTTTTTTCTTCTTCTTTTTCCAAATCCATCTTGTTCTCTGGTGAGGGGATCTGATCCAGCCCATTCTGCTGAATCATGAATGCCCCAGAGAAGCCAGAGTGATGGTAGTTACTTTAGTATTAAAAGCAGCAGCAGTCTGACATTTATAGCTCATTAAATTGTCTGCAAACACTATACATTGTGTTATGAATTTGATAAATAAAACTTTGAACTTCAACTTGATGGTACTGAGTATACCGCAGTTTCTGATCATTTTTTGTTGGCAGATGCAACCATTTGTAGAGCTACACATGTAATCAATACCATGCATAATATACAAACTAAATAAAAACTTTATGAACCATTAAAACGAACAGCTCTACTTTCAGCAAAGATCTGAAATTCTCAATCGGGCTGTTCTTCACAGAACCTCACAGTAAGTTTCAAAATTACCAGTGCAAATGGGAAGTGCTGTATGAGACACCAAATGTGTTAAAAGAATCTTGCAGGTTCTCGCTGACTATGTAATGCGAAGATTGTGTGAACTTACAAGCAAGACAATAGAGACAAAACTGTAGAAGGATGTGAGAGTTTCTCTTCATTTCCTCTAACATATGGAACTGCACAAATAACAAAACACTGTCTGCTACTGTATTTGCAAAAGAAACAACACTGCAGGAAGTGAAGGTCTTTTTATTTCGAGGTGAAAAAAATGCAGCGTTTGGTGGTCACGTCACATGTCACACTGCACTGGACCTCGAGAAAACCTGGGCTACATTCCAATTTGTATACAATCCATACTATATACTGATATAGAGGCAAACATGTCCCAAAGAATAGTGTGTTAGAAAATTAGGATTCTAAAGATTACTAGATAACATTTTCAGTGGGTGTTTGGCCTAAAATTACCCATTAACCCCTTGCACTATGAGAAGAAGATTTTGTGACTTCTTTAGGCATAGACAATGGCTAGGAATGAAAGACCAAAGCGATGAAAGCAGATATTTAATGCACAAACCTACAAATTAAGTAATTACGATCATGCTAACTGCTAATGGCACTATGCAAGTATAACCAGTACACAACAAAGGCACAATGTAATGTGGTAAAGATTTTTTGTTTAGCATAAATCTTTTTCAAAGTCAAGAAAACACTGAGAACTGATGCAAAAAAAACCCCCGCAAAAATGCAATTCTCATGCAGCCACTGAGAATGATAGGAAATGTAGTTGTGAACAATATACATTTTACCAACAACAATTAAAGCATAATTATGATAATAACTAATGACCCCACTGGTACTGGTACATATTTTATAGACATTATACATAATTTTACTCTGTAGCAGAGGCATACGATTGGCGATGCAGCCTGGTTCAAGGCTCATTACCTACAGCTAGCGGTTCTCTGTCATGTCCCTCCTCTTACCCACCTGTCGTGAGTCTAGACCTGGGGTCGCTGCAGAATGACTGGGGCAATTTGAGGGCAGGTGGATTTGTATTTGAACCCTTTTTCTGATATCATGAGAGAATGAAGTTTATGAAATATGAAGTGTATAAACAGTACAGACAATGCTACTAATGATATGTCCAAACTGTAAATGACTCCATGTGATAAACCATATCAAATTCCCAATTAAGCCCAGGTGTAGAAGTCAACAAAAAAATGAAATCCAATTACAACTATTCTCTCCTTTTTTCAGTGCCCGCTTTCTCTACCAATCCCTCCCCGCATCCATCCATCCCCCCTCCTCCATCCCCCTCCCATCAGCAGCTGCAGTCACAGAAGATGGGGGATTGTGGTCGTCCTGAATCAGCCAGGGCTAAAATGACATTTAACTGATGTTCAGACAGGAGGTAGCTGCTGGAACGGGTAGATAAGACCATTGCTGCTGGCATTTCAATTACACTTTTACTGCCCTACACATCTGTTACCAGCCTACTTTCAGTCTTTTTTTCCCACAGGCAAATACATCCTCATTCCACTACCTTTACATCACGCCACACTTTCTTCTTTTTTTCCACCACAAAATTCAGATTGTCTGCTTTTGCAGGTGGTTTCTGGGTCTAGACTGGAATGTATTGCTGGGTTTGTCTGACTTTAAGGTGGGACACAGTGGGGTCAGTTCTCTCTCCAGCCGTGGTTCTCAACTGGTGGGTGATGAGCCAAGAATGGGTCACAGATCTGTTCCGGGTCATATGACAGCAGGGGAAAAATCAATGCTAAAAGCAGCTAACAAAATAAATAGGCATCTCAAGGTTTAATGGGGAGTAGAAAACAAGGGAGAAAGGACTGGGATATGTTGCAAGCCAGATTCAAACACTTTATCTTTCATCATTTTATCTATCAAATCAACCCAAAACAACTACCAAATAAGTAAATACATAGACAAGAAAAATAGTAAAAAATATTGTCCTGTAAATTATCTTAAAAGTACTGTTATGAAAAATAGTCCACCACAACATAAAAAAAACAACTAACCAAGCAACAATTTTCCAATAATATTACAATATTATAAATAAAACTTTATTACTATTGTAATAAAACTTTCTTCTGTTCCTCTAAGCTGTTTTTGTTTTCTTGCTTTATCTGGACACCTGAACTTCTAGACATTTAGAAAAGGTTTAATGCTCAGCACATACACGAACACACACACACACACACAAAATATATATATATATGTATATTGCTGTGAAGTTTAAAGGTGATTCCTTTAGTTGACATGGTCTGTATCATTCGTACCTCTTCACCACCTATATTCATAGTACTATGTGAAGCTTCTCTCTCTCTGTCATCATTTCCTACAGTGTCTTCATCACAGTCAACAGGGGAGTTACTCAGAAAAGGGGAGGGGTGTGGGTTAAATTGGACACACATCTCATCTCAGTCTCATTAAGAGCTTTATGTAAGAAAGAAAGAGAGAAAATGCACACATACATACTGTACAGTCACTGGTGGACTCCCTTGTGCTAGTTAAGCCCATGTATCTACACTGAGGAGTAATTTGGAGTTGGTTCCCAAAGCAGCACAGCTCAGTGCAGAGCTGGTCATGGAGGAACTGAGAAAGGTAAATTTAATTACTGATAGAGAGACAGGAACACATTATTATCCAGCCTGCCTGAGATGTCATTTCCATCAGGCGTGTCAAGTTCTTTCAGTGCTCTTTACACTGACACATATTCACACTCACCTGGTGTCTCGTGTCATGGAGCCTGACTTTTGACTTAAACTATGGTCCACTTTGAAGCTTATTCTAGCAGTTTCTCCCACAAAGGCTAGAATAAACCATCTGATCAACATGTAAATGTAATTTATAACATATATACATTAGTATCGGCATTATACAGTATATAAACTGTACATATGCTAATACTAATTTATTTACATTAGAAAAAAATTACATTTATACTACCACTCAAATGTTTAGGGTCACCTATATTTAAGGGTCATTAAGATTCTTTTTTTTTTTTTTTTTTTTCAGCAAGGATACATTAAATTGATTGAAAGTGAAATAAAGACATTTATAATGTTACAAAATATTTTTATTTCAAATAAATGCTGTTGTTTTGAACCTTCTATTCATCAAAGAATCCTGAAAAAAGTATCATTGTTCCACAAAAACATTAAGCAGCATAACAGTTTTCAACATTGACAATTATAAAAAAAAAATGTTTCTTGAGCACCAAATGAGCATATTAGAATAATTTCTGAGGAATCATGTGACAATGAAGACTGGAGTAATGGCTTCTGAAAAATAACTTTGCCATTACAGGAATAAGTTACATTTTAAAATATATTCAAATAGGAAACGGCTATTTTAAATTGAAATATAAAGTAAATTTAAATGTAAAGTTAAATGTAAATACACTAAATAAATGTAGAAAATATATCTAAAATTTGCATTGCATGCAAAAAAGAAGATGTAGAGGAAGAAAGAAAAGGAAAACATTCTATGCATCATTGCAGACTCTGCAATTAATAAATAATACTCCACTTTTGTGGTACCATAGCACAATAGCAACCATATAATTTATGTTAACAGCTGCTGTTGTTATATAGTTAGTGGCTGCATAGCTGTAGTAAAGATCTCATTAAAACCTGATTCTGGGATTGAAGAATTCTCTTATTTATATGAGTCACACACCTGCTCCAGAGGCGAAATTCACCTACATCTCAACAACAAGCTGCTCTGAGCTGCACGGGTGAACTAATGATTTACACTGTTAAGAGACAGAGAATAAGAAACCAACAGAAAAGTGAATGAGAAAAAAGCTGCCAACAAGCAATGATCTACCCAGTGCTCCTGAACAGAAATAGTTGGATGTCAAACAGTGTTTGGGGGCAAATGATGTCTTTTGATACTGATCGATCTGCAGAGTCCTGCTCTGGGGAAAACACTGCTGAAATATTTAAGAGACTTGTCTAAATGGAGGGAGACATAAATAATGTACTTTGCCCTCTGTAAGTCATGTTCTTACTAAGAAAGTTAAATGTAGATATATTAGCTTAATGACACTGAATAATGCAGAATGCAGTGGGGAATATAAAAGTACATATAGTGACAGGGGTTAAATACAGTATACTGAGCCTTAATACTGTAAATGGAATCACATTTCAACTCTCTTCATTAAAATATAATAAAACATATTAAAATATAAGTACATCTTGAAT